GCAAGAGTCACAATAGACTTCTTTCAACATAATGATGTCACATTGTTACCATGGCCACCAAGATCTCCCGACTTATCCCCAATTGAGCACGTGTGGGATATGATGGGTAGGAGATTGCTCAATTTGCAACGTCCTCCTCAGACTCTAGAAGCACTTCGAGAGGAGTTGGTGGTTGCCTGGAATGAGAAACCACAGGAGGATATTGACCACCTGATCAGAAGCATGCCTAGGCGCGTTGGAGAATGCGTAGCACATCAGGGTGCATCCACACATTATTAAAGGTCAAAGGGCTTTAAAGCAGTGCAATCATTTTGAAATTTTTATCATTTACTTATTATGCTTCATTAAGTACTTATACAAAATTTTATTAAAATAAAACCATTTAAACTGGGTGTTCGGATTTATATGTCACTTAGTATATTTGAAGTGGTAATTTATATTTTTATAAGATGATACAAAACACTTCTATCAGAATATTTTTCGATCAGATTTGAAGAATCTTCCTGAACTAATATAAGACTGGATTTTGTTTAACGAGTGCGTATTTGCAGAACTCTTTTTACATTCTCCTTGCAATATACCCAACGCAATACTATTCTCTAACATTTACCAGGTGTATTATTTTTTTTGTGAACATTTTTACTTGAAATTTATTCCCAGGATTACTTCAGTGGACTGTCGAAGTCTTTCTATCTTTTTTTGATCAAAACTACTTTTTTGTTTCTGTTTATCGGCCTGTTGAACGTTTTGTTTAAACTTTTTCTTAAATGTCGCTACTATTCCTAGGCGGGTCCAAGTTTATGGGGTATGGGGATCTCGGAGTAGACAAAATTTAATATTTCCATGATGCTCCAGTGCGCGTCAACGCAGCACCTCCCCCCCTGCTCATTAACAATCGTCAGCGCGGACCCCGTAATTTGAACCCCAGAGATCATAGATCCACCTGGTACTGCTACTATCAATAGAATCTATCTAAACTGCTTTACTATATAGAAGGCTACACATAGGATTCAGAGTAAGAAAGAAATTTGTATAATCTCATTCATAATTTCATGTCAGTTGGAGAGGAAAAGAAATAGTTCAATTTCAAATTTTCTACTTCCATGCACCGTTTGAAATTCCAACTCTTCGTTGCAAGTAGGATTCGAACGTTAAGTCGGATCTGCAGGCTTAAAGTGTCTACAAACGCTTTAGCTAGGTTTAGGATTGTAAACGTAACACAAAACGCACAATATAACTGAAATCTTTCGGCAAATATACTTTTCAACTGCAATTTTTACAACAGAAAAATGGTATGTGTAGCCTCTGAATATTTTTTTCTAGAACATTTACCGACTACTTCTAGTAATTAGTTATTTTTTTACATGATACCTCGTCAACTATGTTACCACCAACCTTCGTGAAATTCTAGTCGATAAATGATTGTCATCAGCTAGTATCTAAATAATCAGACGTTGCTAATGAAGCTTCCAAATGAGCAATATTTTTGATGCATTACCTAGCAATAGAGTAGCCAGCAACATAAGGTAATATATAGTGTGGCCCGTCTATGCTGTATCGCGTTCATAAATTGTTATAGAGTGTACTTTGTCAAAATTTTAGCGTTCGTATTTGTTTGCTCAACACTTTGGGAATTGAGAGTGTCACTTGTTATTCTCGTGGTTCCAATATATATATTTTTCGCGATAAATGAGGTACCTCGTATCCATATCATTTCTGAAAGAATAATTTCACACATATATTTCTTTCTTTCTTAGCGACTCAGTATTATGTTAAAATCTTTTAGACACTAATGTTATAATATTTTATTAACGACTTATTCGTTTTATCCCAAACATTTCCTCATAAAACATCGTTGGACCTCGTAAACTGATTTGAGCAGTTGTCAATGTTTTTTTCCCGGGCATGAAAGTAAGCTTTCTAGGGTCTACCCATAGGTAACCAGTGATGTACGTAGGTTCGGTTGCGGAACTTTTATTCGGTTTTGAACGCCTTTGACAGGTTTTTGGGATTGTTTTGTTTCCCTAGGGCGAAACTTTGTTTCGTTATGTCTAGATAGAATATTAGACAGTTTGGTTTGGTAATCGGAATTTCTCAATCGTTATTATTATTTTTGCCACACATTTTGGTATCGAATCTGTGGAATATCGAGTTTCGGTACTTTTGACATTGATTGACGGTCAACACTGACCGGAAAATTCGTGTCGGTCATTTTCCAATGAAGTCTGGTTGAGGTGTATCGGCCCTTCGTTTGGTTTCCAAATTTTGGAATATTTGGCCCGATCACCGGTTTTTGGAGTAGAACCCTTTTTCTTATCTACCTTACCTTTAGTAGTTTGTATCTCCAATAGAAAGCATTTCTAGGCTTTGCGCCCATTTGAACATTTTATCAGTATTCCCTTTAAAATTGACCGGTGTGATGTTCTACAGTCTTTAGCAAGATCCATATTTTTTTCGAAATCGAGAACGCATCCGGCGCAGTCCTAATGGAAAAACAGAACTTTCGCGCATTTGACTCCAAATCTATCCCGAAAAAGAAGTTTGACGTAGATGAATCCTTCAAATGTAATGAAGTGTAACAAGTCTAAGAATTAACACCAAAATTATATGTTTATAAAACAAACCAATTTTCAAGTACCGTTTAAGTACAACTTTTTTGATAAAGCATTAAGCCCTATTATTGAAATGAATTTATTTTTCGATAATGCATTATTTTTTCGATTCTCTTGTAACCAAATTTTTGTTCCTTAAAATGTAAAAATCAAAATTAAGCTGGAATCATGATTTCAGAATTTACATAAAATTTGTAAGATTAGATTTCTCGGAATAAAGTCAATGAAGTTTAGATAATTTACAGAAAGCATATGGTCTACACATTTCAGACAATATTGGGAAGATAGAGCCGAGCCATGTGCCATGTTATAGTTGCCACAGTTATAGCTAAATATTGACACAAAAGTATTGCTCGTTTAGACGCTCCATAGTACGATACGATTTAGTGGGCAAAAGCCTTTAAACGTACATATTTTATGAGAATTTTTGTAAATAGTTTTTGAATACTAGGCAAACTAATTGCTAATTTCAATCACAGAAGTTACACCGTGATAACTTTAGAAGCAATTTAACTATACTTTATTATTTCTACATTGATTTTAAAGTGAGATACTCATTTCTATCAAATATCCTACAAGATAAAATAACGTCTATCCATGAAAACTTAGGCCATTGATGCAAACTATCAACTATCGAGTAAAACCTTGCAGGAGACCAGTTTGAGATAAAAAAGAAACGAAAAAAAAAAAAACACAAATCATACAAAGAAAACTCTTTAATGAAAGTTAACCAAATAAAATAATAAATGCAAAGAGAATACAGTAAGATTAAAAGTAAAACTAAGAGTAAACCTGAGAAGCATGCACAAAACAGAACAGAAATGATACATCTTCGAGTACTGAACGCCAAAAATATCTCAAATCATGACCTTGGTTTCCTAAAGCTACAAAATTACCCAACATTATGCATGCGGAGATTCTTGTACAATCTGCAACTTGTTGCCTTGGAAACGTACCTTCAGCAAGGAAGCAACGTTGCCAGATCTTGCGTTTTTTTCCACAAAATCTGATGATTTTGTTTTGGGACGTTTTCGACAGGCAGTACTGAGGGCTTAGGCGAGAAACAACGAAGGTAGCCGAACAGATCAAAAACATCACACAAGGTATATGTTTTCGTATGAAAGACACATTGTGCGCATACTTAAAAGAATTTAAAAAAATATTCATCTATCAGCTCACATCATCCACACGTAGTTTAGTTGTAGATATTGACTTCGAATTTGGCGAATGCTGCTGCGTTACATTCTTTTTTTCTGTTTATTTGTCTAATGTAGAAAAACGAAAAAATAATCGGATAGATTCAAAAATAACCGTAAGTTGTTTGAAAAACATTAGAGATTCAACTATTCAGTCATCTGACTCTACCCGGCTATTTTTCCAATGTAGAAAAACGAGAAAAGAGACAGAGACAGGAAAATGTTGAAATCACGCGTTTGTTCCTATTCAGTATTTGCAACATTGAATTGTTGATTGTCAAGTGTACAATAATTATATCAGAGATACGAGTTTAAAGTTAAAGTAGATTAAACACCAATACACATCACCACCGTCACATAACACATCTGACAAATATGACAGCTGCTTGGCAGTTGGCATATAGCGAGTGACAGCCGACAGCCGCGATAAGGTATAGTACAAGACCACTAGAACTCGCCCGATGAAAATTAGAAGTTGACCTGATTGTTCAACAATTTCGGCGTTAGATATTTTAGGGACTATTTTTTCCAATAAAAAAAGGACCACATTCATAGTCGACCTTTAAGGGTTGAATGTCGATTGAGGGTTGACCAATCCCTGGATTTCGACGTACACTAAGTCACCCACGAGTTACCCTCAAGGGGGAGACTTGACATTTGCACTTCACAGTTTTAAATTTCAGGATTACAAAATTTTCAAGTATTTTCAAGATTTAAATAAATTTCAAAATAATCGAAATTTTGTAATTTTTTTTTCAAAAATTTTCAATTTCATTCACCTGATTTTCAAAATTTTCGAAACCCAATTTCAAGATTTCTCAATATGTAAAATGCTCAAAATTTTACAAATTTTGAAAAATCACTATGATCGAAAGTTTCAAAAATTTCAAAACTCAGGATTTTTAAGAATTTTTTATAAAATTAAAAACAATCGGAATTTCAAAAATTGCAAAACCTACCTGATTTTCAAAATTTTCAAAAGCAGTTAAAAAAATTTCAACTTTTTCTAAATTTTTTAAATTTCCAAAATTCTCAAAACTTCACCAAATTTTAAAAAATCAAGATAATAAGAAATTTCAAAATTCAAGATTTTCAAGAATTTCAAAAATATTAAGAACAATCGAAATTTCAAAAATTTCAAAATTTACCTAATTTTCAAAAACAGTTTAAAAATTTCAACATTTCCTAAATTTTTATAATTTACAAAAATAACAATATTTAAAATTCTCAACACCACCAAATTTTAAACAATCAAGATAATAAAAAATTTCAAGACTCAAAAAAAAGTACGTTAAAACATTTTGAAGTGACCGAAATTTAAAATTTTCAAAACTTTTCTAGATTTAAAAAATCAATTTAATCGTTATTTTCAAAAATTTCAAAATTAGCCTGATTTTAAAAATCCATATTTTAAAAATTTACAAGATTCCTAAAATATACAGAATTTTCAAAATTTTCTGAATTTTTGATATCCAAAATTAAAAAATACTATGAAATGCAAATGTTGAATCTCCATTGAGCATCACTCAAGGGTGCGTTATTAGTCGTTCAATATCCAAGGGTTGACCAACCCATAATCGGCACTCGGTCCTTAACGGTTGACTAAAAATGTGGCCCTAAAACCTCGTGCTACGCAAGATAAGAAATTGCTTATTGTTGTCATCATTTAAGGTAGAACAGTGCAAATGGTCCTGTACTATGACGGCATTTCCGCCGAGATTGAGTAGGAAAAAAAGGAGAGATTCTGTTAAGGTGAGGTGTGATCGGACGAAAATGCCAGCAAAAATTAAAAATATGAACGGTTCTCTTACGAAAAACACGTTCATACCTTTAGGGTAGAGTTGAACCCTGTGGTTGTTCCGAAAACCGCTAAAAGATATACGCTCGCTTCATTTACAGCGACGTTTTGACGTCCAGGCTGAAACTGCGATGTTGCCGTTGCTTCAAAATTCTAGTGAAATACCAGACGTTCATGTCATTTGTTAAGCTGCTGAATTTCTGACACATATACTGGAGAAAAGTCACTATATGATGGTATAACATTTCTAAGTCTGATTGAAAATGGCAAAATAACAAGGCCGTTAAAAAATGTAGTCAGAACGTACCCCTGTAGGTTTTATATAAAAACGCTTGGCAACACTGATACCCTTCTAAGATGATGTGATAGTTATGCTCTGGTATTCCGTGTGGAAGCAATTCAGACTTGGCATTTAGAGTGTATATCTTTTAGAAGCCTTTCAGATAATTCTAAGCTATCTCAGTGGCTAAATTCTAACGTTAACCTAGGTATAATTCCGCGACATCTCTAACAATTCTACCCATATAATACTATGTAGGTTTCATCATGTTATATATAGTTCAATATTTTAGTTTCATTTCATGAAGAACTTTCGAGTCACTTATACAACATGAGATAAACATTTCTATAAACTTACAAAAAATAACATTGCGCGTATCCATCTTGACATAACCCTATTTTTTATAATTTTTTCTACAACAGTTGCTTAAATATTAAAGCCATTTTCAATACTGAATACCAAACGCAACAAAAGCATTAGAGACGGTGAAAGGAATACTTAAAAATCTCAAACGAAAAGATCATACAATATGAGAGTATATACGAGAACATAAAAAAATAACGTCTAACTTACAGTAACATAAACTTATTCGTTAAAAAAATACTAAATTACTTTGTAACAAAAGCTTATTCCTGCCAAAAATAACAGTCTATATAATATAAAATACAATAAATTAAGCGCAGTATTATAACGTTTTTTTTATTTAGCTACCTTTTCGGCGTCGCCGTGTCTTTCAGACTCGACGTTTGTGGAATGAATACTGTTCTTTGTTTGTGAGTGGAGGGGGCATTATATACTGGATTTCGAGAACGATACCCTCAAGTGGTTCGATTCTGACAGTTGGTAGTTGTGCATTTTTATCAACGCTACTACCGCTTCTTCCATGCTGGGCAGTTGGATTAGGGCCATTTTCTTGTCTTTCCTGAAAATTCAAAAGGTTTTTTCAATCACTATCAAGTTGCCATTAAAATTGTGAGAAAGGATTTTTGATAAAGCGCCTTAGAAATATATAGGAAACGAGATTTCGTCTACACAACAAGTGTGTACTTTTGAATTAGGTTCATTCTCTTGTCTTTCCCGAAAATTCCGAATCAGTATAAGGTCGTTCTGGAATGATTTAATTGTACTGTGAAATCAGTGAGATTTGTTGAAATTCTCATTAAGATTGTAAAAAAGGATCTTTGATAAAGCATCTTATTTATCCAACAACATCTAGAAATCGAGATTTACGTTGGTAATAACTCATTTCCTTTTATTGTGTTGCAATAATTATTTGTTTATTTAAAAATACACGCTCGCTATATTTACGACGTTTTGACGTCCAGGCTGAAACTGCGATGTTGCCGTTGCTTCAGAATCGTGGTGAAATATCAGATATTCATGTAACTTGTTCAGCTGCCCAATTTCTATTACATATACTGGAGATAAGTGACTATATGGTCGTATAGTATTTCTAACCTTGATTGAAAACGACAGAAAAAAGGCCGTGAACGGAACATAACAATAGTTGAATTACCCCCTGTAGGTTTTATATAAAAACGCTTGGCAACACTGCAAACTGCAACCCTTCTAAGATGGTGTGATAGTAGATGTTGAGGTTATGTTCTGGTATTACGTATGGAAACAATTCAGACATGGCATTTGAAGTGTATACCTTTAGACACCTTATTGATCTAGAAATATCTAGGAAACGAGAGTTCATCTATACCACAAATTTGAATTTTTCTATTAGGACTATTTCCTTGTCTTTCCTTAAAATTCAAAGGTTTCAATTGTAAAATCATTGAAATTTGAAATTTTCATTAAAATTGGAATATCTAGGAAATGAGATGTCGTCTATACTACAAATTTAAATCTTTGATTTTTTTTCCGGAAAATTCAAGTTTGATCTGAGTACTGCCTGATTTAATATGAAAATTAGGGACCCATCTTGCACAAATCGTATAGTGTTTCTCTATTTTGAGAGGCATTTTACACGAAACCGTCCATATTAGATCCATTACTTCATTACAATTTCGGGTCTAAGAGACGAAAGAAATTTAAGTCAGAAATGTGTAGGTTCGTTATACTTACGGGAAGAATTTGAATGCTTTAACTGTGAATCCGTTATCTGTGAACGCTTTCTTGATATCCTCTTCGTTAACTGTTGCTGGGATGTTGCTAAGATGTAGTGTGGCTGACGGCGGGTAGATGTTCTGATAGTTCTTCGAGCCTGGCTTCTTGAATCTGTTCAAAATAATCAATACGTCAATACGACTTCGAAGTTGAGTCATTTATTTTAACAGTGAGTAGATCTGATCAAAAGAAATGTTTTTTCCTTTACCATTTTTCTGGTAAAATTAAAGTAACAAAGTTATAGCCCTTTGGAAGTTTGAGTACCGCCCTGTCTCAATCATAATATTATGTGCTCGTGTTTGGCGACAACGGATATAATCCGCCGTATCGGTTCATCGCATCGGAAACAAAAAGAATTTGGAACGATGTTTTTACAATTATTTCATTCATTTGTATACAGTCAGTGTCAGTGAATAGTGGTATCTGTTGCGTGGCTCAAACGAAATAAAAAATGGCACATGTTTATGCGGATCGGTTTCCCAATCGAGTGCAACCAACCCCTCGTGCCTTTGTTAATGTAGTACAACGGGCTCGTGAATCAGGTGACTTAAGACCTCACAGGGGACCTCACGATCAAATACAGGTCCGCACTAAAATACTTGTCGGGAGGATACTTTATAAAACAAGGTAAATTTGTTTTTAATTTTTTTTTATTTTTACACACATATTTTGGTTTATCTTCCTTCTACAATCATTATCTGAAAATTCACCCTGTATAAGCCTGTAAGATAACGAGATATTATCTTTTTCATATTGCACCTTAAAGCTCTTTGATGACTATACAATACAATTTCATGATTTTCTGGACTGAAGCAAAACAGATTTCATGTTGCTGATGAAATAAAGTCGCAAACAGTTACTGAAAATCTTAGTCGAAGTTATCTATAGAAACCAAGGAATTCATACTAGCTAGGAGTCAGTCAAGGATTTGTTTGTCTTCCAATTCTCATAGTCTCTTGTGAGGATCAAAGTGTACTGGACAACAGATATTTTTTTATTTTGGTGTTATTTTCTAAAAGTGCGAGTGTTTGGAGATAATTCTTACATAATTTGTAAAGAGCAGCACAGCCTTAATGAAGGTAGACGTTTCCACCACTAATTATTATTTTGTTGATGCAACACTGTACAGCATAAAATTTTAATTGTTAATTTTATTGAAAAACAAAAGCAGCAGGATACATACCTGTGTAGAGGGCTCTGGCTGTAATCCTTGGTCAGACCTGCGTCAGGTTGGCCCTCCTTGGGCATTTGTACTGACTGATGTTTGCTCAACATCACCCTGATATTTTTGCCGAAGACTTTCAGCTTATCCATATGGGTGATCGCTGGAATTTAAGGCATACATTTTGTTTATAGAACTATACTATATATATTATAGTTCTATATATATATATATATATATATATATAACTTGAGACGTGGTCATTGTCGTCTAGACCAGTTAGGTGAAAAATTAAAGCTTCCGCCTTTTGTTGGGTACTTCGACAAAATTTAAGCAAAGAGGACTCTATACTTTTTTTAATTCTCCCTAGCTTTCAATGGACTTTGCCATCATCATCAGGAGCTGCAATTACAATGATAACAGTAGCAACAAAAGTGTAAAATGAATTTAAATTGAATCAACTTACAGTAGTATGTGAGGATGTTGCTAATTGTTGTTTTCGTATAGGATGAGGGAAACGTCCAGTAACATGGTGAGAGCTGGATACTTGGTACACTGGTTAAAATTATATAAAATATGACAAGACAAGTTAAAGACAGATTAAAAATTATTTAGAAAACATTAGAGCATTACGTCGTGAAGCCACTTGATGATTGCACAAAATGGTGGTCATGGAATAATGAGTGAGATGAACCTTTGACAGAAGGCCGAAGGTTGTCAATGTCTGTGTTGAAAGATGGAACGAATTGTGGGCGTGTGCCAAAACGTTGCCAAATCACTTCACATGATGTGATTTTCAGAATGTTATGTAAGAAATTGTTTAAACTGCCTCTGGTCGGTTTCAACACAGACATTGACAACCTTCGGCCTTCTGTCAAAGGTTCATCTCACTCATTATTCCATGACCACCATTTTGTGCAATCATCAAGTGGCTTCACGACGTAATGCTCTAATGTTTTCTAAATAATTTTTAATCTGTCTTTAACTTGTCTTGTCATATTTTATATAATTTTAACCATTGTATCATGTATCCAGCTCTCACCATGTTACTGGACGTTTCCCTCATCCTATACAAAAACAACAATTAGCAACATCCTCACATACTACTGTAAGTTGATTCAATTTAAATTCATTTTACACTTTTGTTGCTACTGTTATCATTGTAATTGCAGCTCCTGATGATGATGGCAAAGTCCATTGAAAGCTAGAGAGAATTAAAAAAAGTATAAAGAGTCCTCTTTGCTTAAATTTTGTCGAAGTACCCAACAAAAGGCGGAAGCTTTAATTTTTCACCTATATATATATATATATATATATATATATATATATAGTATTCATAGTTAATTGCCTTAACTGTTAGGAGAAAAAATCCTTGAATTTCTTTGGGTAGAAGGCAAAATATTGCGTAAGCACACTCTTATAACTTAAACTCGAGCTTTCAAAGGTCAAAGCCGTCTTCGTCTGGAGCTGGAAACAATTTTTGTTGTTGGTGTGTTGCTATTCTTCAAAAATAGTTTCCAGCTCCAGACGAAGAGGGCATAGACCTTCGAAAGCTCGTGCTTAAGTTATAAGAGTGTGCTTATGGAATACTTCTCCTTCTACCCAAAATGGAAGAGACTATCATAACTCATCGTAAGCCATCGCAAGTACAGTGTGTATTATTTCATTCATAATTAAATCACATAAAACACAAGTTGGGGCCATTTACATGAGTAAAAAGAACTCTTGTCATAGTAGCGTACGATGCATTATACTATTCTCTCCCATTTTGAAAATTGAGACTACACTGTTACGTGGCCAGTTCTTACCTAAATGTGCCTGGTGGGGTTCTGCAAGTTGTACCAACGCTGAGTCTTTTTTGTTGTATAGGATTTTTACCCGTTGGACGTCACCATATACGCCTACAAGGAAAAAAAACGTTACGATTACTTTGAGAAACGCAAAAATATGAAATATATAAAAAAGTAAGAAAGTAAACTGGATAAAAACAGGCGTTAGAAGAATGTGACAAAAATATACAGATAACTCAAAAATCGCGAAACGAAAATACATGCAAGACAAATTATTAGAGGCAGTCAACAGACTCTACGAATAAACAAAAGATAATAGATTTTGAAAATTAAAAACAATGAACTAGGATGGATATAAGCAGCAAGCTCAACGTAAATGAAAAGGCAGTCCAATCAAAATGGCGGCTGTAAAGAAAAAAATTATATACAGACGCTTCATGGGCGAGCCTTAAACATCCAGATTCGGTGACACATCCTCTAAGCCATATGGATGGTCTTTGATTTTAAATTTAATATTGAACCCTTTTGTACTATTCAAGTTTATTACAGATATAATCAAAGTCGAGTTATCTACTTGGTGCTCACTTGGTCACCAAAATGCAGGATCTACATTGTTTTTAACTTAAAGCCGTCATTTTACTTGGACTGTTAAGGAAAAACGTATATACTTCGGATCTATAACAATGATAAACTATAAACATTCACATCACTCCAGAAAAACGTGTTAATACATTAACTGTTGAAGATTAAAAGCAACAAACAACTATTCTCCACTCTATCACTATTCTAAAAAAATACAGAACACAAGAATAGTCTCAAAAACCTCTATTTTTTCTTTATCTTATTATATCGATATATCTTTTGGAGTTAGGGATTTAATTTATCCCTTTTTAGGCATTTTGACATTTTTTTTATTCAAGACAGATGTGCACTTTAAAAGAACATGTCAAAAATGGAACAGATTTTTTACCGAAAGAATGAATAGAGGCATCCATACTCAGAACAAAGCAGACATACACTTTAAATTCATTTATAAAAAATTATTTTCGTGAGGTCAAAATTCATAATTTCAAAATGGTTTCTAAATGCTTAATGATGTGATGACTTCAGGGCGTAGTAAAAATGGAAACTCATTTTTCTTGCTTCAGACATCAATAAGAAGGCTTAGAATTTTAGTGTTTCCAGAATTTAAAAAAATAATATTCCATATATCTTGGAAACTACTAATTTGCGAAGTAGACAACGTTATACAAAATTAATTTTATTTTGAATGCATACTGTACAATTAAAAAATATGGCTTCCCATTTAACTGTTTTCTGAAATTCAAATTTCATAATTTTGTTTTTGATTACCCTGTACCCAAATACGGGAAAAAATCTACCAAAGTAGGCCACCCTAGTATCAGAAACTCGTCACAAATCATGTGGCAAAGGAAAAGATATGAGAAGTATTTTTGGCCAGCATTTGTTATTGTTCACGGAAAATTTGAGGTCTCAAAAATGGATAAAATTTTGATTCAAATTACTGATTGATTACTGCCGTACAAAGGATGAAACATCTTTGGAGGATGTAGAAAAACCGATAATTTTCAGAATGTCTCCAAACTTTGCTTTTTGATATTGTTTGTGCGCCGTCATTTTCAACCAACCAAGAGCAGTCATTTTTAATTTCCAAGTTTTTGGAAGTTTTTCAACATTCGGGTCACTTTGGAGCATAAAAAATGACCAGGCTGCAAACATTTTTTTGTGTTGAATAAATTTTTAGCATTGTGTGATCAAGACCGAGGTCAACTTGAAAAACTATTTTCTGCTGTATGAGCTCGATTTACGTTGTATGTCTGCTGTGTTGGACAGAGAATATAACATTAACAGTGTGAAAACATACCAAATAGTGTAAAGAGAGCGTCAGGCGTGACCATCTACGATAGAAGAAAGACGATAGTAGGATGGAACGTGGCACAGACAGAGTCAGTAGCGTACAAGCCACCGAGGGGCAGCAAATGTAACAAAAAAGAAAAACACCATTAGACATCATCAGACACGACCGAGATCATCGATTGTTTTTTTACTTTTTTTTATTAAAACCGTTTGTCTCCATACAGTATGCCACCATCGATATTTTACAACTAAAGGCGTGTAAATGGCAACACTGTACTGTCCGTTCTCATCCAGCCAGTGTTGTCATTTTCATTCCCTTTGAAACTTGAGTTGCGCAACACTAAAGTAACATACTGAATATGAAGACTAATATAATATATTCAGTGACAGAAGTGTTACACCCAGAAAAAATAATTTCTTCAACTTGTTTTTTTGGCAATATAATTACTATATTTAGAGCATGCTGTGGAAAAAATATCAGCGTTTTATCTTTGTTTTTGTTTCGTTAGATACGTCCAACTTATCACCATGTTAGCGACTTTGACAGGGGTAGAATTATTTCCTATCGAGGTGTTGGTTTGTTCTATCGCGAAATTGGCCGCCGTGTTGACGGTAATGTGTGTGTGTCGTGTGTGGATAGAAAAAGGTAGAGGAAGAGGTTTTGCTATTACGCGTCTGATCGTTGACCAATGGTTTTGGGAAGAAGGTAGACCTGTTACTATGCGTACACTCTAACGCCGCATTCGAGCCTGAGAACTTATTTCACACCGTCCACGGTTAGTGCTTCCTCTGACTGCGGACCACTGTCGTAAACGTTTGAACTGGAGCAGAGATCGGCAACATTGCGAGGCTGAATGGCATAATGTCAACTTCAGCGACGAAAGAATGAGGTGCCACAACCAGATATCGATCATCTCATTTTGTCGATAAGTAGACGTATACAGGAGTGTATTCAGCTGCGGGGTCGCCCATCACATTATTTTTCTTCTAATTACTTGTCAATAGAATTTCGTGAGGATGATATCGTTTCATGCTTGATTTAAGACTACTGCCAAGTTGAAGAAATAATTTTTTTCTGAGAGTACCATTTCCAGTGTCACTGAGTATATTCACGCTATTGGTGCATGAGATCCAGATTAATACGCTACCTCTCATTTCTTTTGATACTAGAGATAGGAATTTTGAAAACGGCGAACCATTGATAATTTTTGTCAGTTTTTATTACAAGTGGTTTGAAAAATTCGAAACACGAGTTATACCCTAGCTAGAAAGAGAAACTGAAGGTAGCAGTATCTTGATAATATAAATTATGTTATTCAGCATATGTTAATTTCTCACGATTACATAATTACATAAATATGTAAAGTTATGTTATGGATGTTATTTGGAGTTAAAAGAAAGCCGTATAAAAATATATAACATATTTCGTCAAGCGATTAATTTAACAGTAAAGAAAATGTTTTGAGTTGTAAGAAAAATATGGGATGATTAATGCTATATACACATAACCAGTCATGAAAACAGGAGCGGTTTTTTAATATTGGTTGCTGTATTTTTATTTAACTAAACTCTATGAAACAACTGATCAACTATATTAGAGGCATTAAATGCAGTTCGGAAAAATGTTCAATAACGCGATCATTTAAATCAACTACTTTTAGGAACTTTTATTAACGTGTATATTATTAAGGTCATCAAAAACATAAAATAACATGCCAAAATTGGAATGTTTACAAGATATTGAACCTTGACGTCGAAAAAAAAAATATTTTTTTTCTGTTTTGATATAAACGCTGTCAAGATCCAGGCATTTGACTAGCTAAACCGTAGGCTATCTAATTTGGTTCTAAACATAAGCAAAAGTATTCGTCGTTAGCCACGCGATAACAAACAAGCACAAATTTTCCATCTATTGCTGAAGTCGTTGAATCGTTGATTCATACTGAGAACAGTATGGGACCTAGTACCTATCCTTGGGGTACTCCTACGCTTATATAAGATTCTCTATACGATTTAAATATATTGTAAGCCGAGTGATACCCACCTCCTCGTTCAAATTGCTAACCAACAGCACCGTGGCCAAGGACAAACCAGGGGCGGCCGCCAAGCCCCTAAGGCCAGGGGCAGCCTGTTGAAGGGCGGCGAAATTGCCTGCTAGAGCGGCGGGCAAACCGCTTGCTGCGGCCGCTGCTGCAGCTGCCGCCGCGTAGGGGCCCGCCAGGGGCGACGCGAGGCCTCCGTGGAGGAAGGGGCCCCCTAGGACACCGGGGGCGCCGGCAGCGGCTGCCGCGGCCGCCGCTGCTGCTGCTGTGGCGCCGCCTGCGCTTAGCAGGGAATCTGAAAGGAAAAGAGGGATTTATTTCGTTGGCTAGGCGTTAAAATAGAAATTAGTGCATTCATGAAAAAGGAAATGCCGCTTGATGCAAACTTGGATTTATCAACTTTCAAAAACTATTTATGTAACAAGAAAATAGGGTCTTTACCTCGAAATGATATGGGAAACGAAATTTCTGATAGCAACCTTAAGCGAATCAGGAGGGCAGTTTATGAATCTTCATAGTACCTAGTCTTATAGTCAGCGTATCCATGTTTGAACGATTTGGAAGAATGGTAAATTCAATGATTTTAACTGTTCGAAATTGATATAAAAAATGGATTATTTTACATGTAAAGTAGTGTTATTCAAATGCCCTAGTAAACTAAGAATTGTGGTATATATTTTAACTCTAGTATATCTCATTAAATATTGGATTCTTCGAAAAATGTATCATCTCAAAATATGTTTGACTTTGGAAAAGGAGTAAAATCAGCTTAAAACAGTTAAAATCGGTTACGAATATATGTATTAAAAAACCATTGTACAATTTCGAGGCCATTTCCAAATATGATATCCAAACAACCACGATTTGGATCGCGTGACCTGTTTTTTATATGTGCAAACTGAATGTAAATTCCCACGTGACCTTGGTAGCTGGTCCTAGACTGAGAGATTGCAATATTCTTTGAGTATTCTGGTCTTTAGTATTTGTGAATACTTTTAACTGTTCGAAATTGGTTTTAAATTCATTTTCGCATTTGAAGTATCATTTGAATTCTTGCATAAATTGATAAAAATTGAAAACGTCTCATTCAAAAAAGTTGTGATCATGAAATATTTTTGTTCTTAAAGAAGAATTAAGATGAGGTTTAAAAATTTATAAATTACAGTTTGAAAAAACTAAAAAACACGTTTTAAAAGATAATTGAAGTAAAAAGTAGAAAATAATTTTGAAGTATAGGGAGATTGGGTTACGGCAATAGAAAGTCCAACAATCAAGTATAACTAATAAATTTGGAATAAGATCAAGATAAAAAAAAATGAAAAAAATTAAATTATAGTAACAGCGAGAGGTGCTTGACATTGAACGTTCGAAGTTATTTACAAAATTGGATTTATTATTATATTGTTAATTCCGATCTTTCTATAACTGAACTTTTTCTTAATATCGTAATTTTTATATCGATCAAGACAAACTCTCCAATACTTGGAAATTATTTTCTACTTTTTAGTTCGATTTGCAATTAAAGCGTTTCTTCAAATTTTTTTCAAATTATAATTTATTTTCTCAATTCTTAGTCTCAAAATGTAAACAAAAGTACTTACAATCACGAGCTCCCATTGTTGGTTAATTTATATTTGACAATATATGTAAATTTACTTTCTATTTTTTCAAATATCAGATAGATTTATCGCAAATTTCAAAAATCGAATTTTAAAAAACTAATACCCTGAGCAAATTCTCAACTTAATCAGACTTCGTGAAACTGGTGAAATAGACTTCGTTACATCCAGGTCAAGCTAATAAAAGCGTGTTAAAAATCGGCCCACTGGTTGCGAATAACAGTTTTACAACCTAGCAGCCATTTTAAAATATAGTCCACGATTTGGATCGCGTGACCGGATTTCTTTTAAGCTTCTTTTAAGCCTAATAATTCCCCGCGAGGATGCTCCTAGATTATGAAGACCATTTTAAAAACACTTAAAAAATGTCTCAAATAAAACCTCTTCAATTATTTTGCTTACCGGCAAGCCTTTCCCTGGCCAGCCTAGGCTGGGCAGCCAACAACAGTATATCCGCCCCTAATCCGCCTGCCAATCCTCCGCTCAAAGCCAGCTGATCTCCGCCAGCGCCATCTCCCGTCGGCAGGTTGGGGTTCGTGTAGTCACGTGACTTGTCGTTGTTGTACTTGACGTTTAGCGAGGGCATTTTCGAGTAGTCGATGCGCAGCGTACAGCAACTGTTATAGATATTCTGGCCGTCCAAGGCTTGCTTTGCTGTTTGAGCGGATTGGGTGTCGGGGTATTGGATCAGTGCTTGGAATGAGTCTGGAACAAAACAGAAACATTAAACTTTGAATACAATATGAAAAACTGCATGTTTTACTTGCAACAAAACAACAATCCTTGTAAACAAGGCTATGATTGAAGTACTCTATTATGTTGAGTTTATCAATGAAGTTCGCGGATTTTTTTCATATCATTGAATGTTTCATCACAAAGCTAAGTTTGTCTTTAGAGATGGAACTGATGGGGAGCTACTCATCTTTCAACTATATCGGTTTGAAGTACAAATTGATACTACTTACTGTTTTTTGTGAATGTTACTATCTTCAGTACTTTTCCGAATCTTTGGAATATCTGGAAGAACAAAAAAATGATATAGGTTCAGAATTAATTGCTATAACTACAATAAGGCCATATAGATATTTGAAGGATTGTGGTTTAAAGCGAATTCCCTTCTGCCGAACTGTTTAGGTTCAAATACAAAATATATGAACTGATGTAAAGTTTACGATATTTTCAACGGTAATGAAACATGTCAAAAGATTACAGCAAATAGCTTTTGAGCATTCAGTGACAAGTAAAATGGTCCATATCGTCTGATAAGTTTTTATGTACAATCAGAAATTAGAATCAATATTTGGAGAAAATAATTCTGAAACGCTACTGAATGTCATCAGCGCAAAGCAAGAAGACACTTAAAGAGACGTCATAGTATGTTTCGCCGTTCCAAATAAAAAAGGAATCACGAAGGATCTTGAACAACGATCTGCATGCACTCGCGAAGCCTCTGTAGCGTTTCTAAGACACTCACCATAAATTAAAATAATATGGGCATCTGCAATATTGCAGTATGAGTGTGTTGATCCTAGTTCCAATAGAGCAATGTTCTTATGAGCCCGATGAACATTGCAGTGTGAGACATAGACATATATCGCTTACCAAATATAGTATATCTAGACTGATGGGGTATATCATATGTTCGATGCAAGAAGACACTTAAACAGACATCATAATATGTTTGAACGTCCCCAAACAAACAAGGAATCACGAAGGATCTTGAACAATGATCTGCATGCACTCGCGAAGCCTCTGCAGCGTTTCGAAGACACTCACCATAAATTAAAATAATATGGACAACTGCAATATTGCTGTATGAGTGTGTTGATCCTAGTTCCAATAGAGCAATGTTCTTATGAGCCCGATGAACATTGCAGTGTGAGACATAGACATATATCGCTTACCAAATGTAGTATATCTAGACTGATGGGGTATATCATATGTTCGATGCAAGAAGACACTTAAACAGCCGTCATAATATGTTTGAACGTCCCCAAACAAAAAAGGAGTTACGAAGGATCTTGAACAACGATCTGCATGCACTCGCGAAGCCTCTGTAGCGTTTCTAAGACACTCACCATAAATTAAAATAATATGGGCAGCTGCTATATTGCAGTATGAGTGTGTTGATCCTAGTTCCAATAGAGCAATGTTGTTATGAGCCCGATGAACATTGCAGTGTGAGACATAGACATATATCGCTTACCAAATATAGTATATCTAGACTGATGGGGTATATCATATGTTCGATGCAAGAAGACACTTAAACAGACATCATAATAGAGAGATATTGCATATGGACCTAAATAAGGGTATGCATTATTTAGGTGAACCTAAATAAGTACAGTGGAATTAGAGATATTGCACATGTAACGTATTTTGACAGTTCGCTTTGATGGTGTTTATCTTAACCTCACTTTTCCTTCCAGTTTTTGCTTGCATAATATAGGTGGTTCGTAGTTGAAATTCTACCAAAGGTGTGAGAAGTGAGATTGTAAAATGGAAGCTGAATTGGAAGCAGTTATATTGGCAGGAGCAGATGAGGAGGAAATAGAACATATCATCCTCCATAATATATTTATTGATAGAGGCATTACTCATACAGCACAATTCAACTTGGAAAACTTGCCAGATGAAGTAATAAGACTAAATTTTCGATTTGAGAGGTCTGACCTTCATAGGCTGATGGCTGTTTTACGAATACCTTCAGAAATTGTCACTATCACACGTAATAAAGTGGATGGTATGATTTTGTTTAAATATTTATTGCTATATGTTCATCATTTCAATCGAACTCCATCCTCTGACTCAAACAACACTTGCCAGAGGCTGGAATTCTATCAACATGAAAACCACAGTATAAGTTCCATTTATCTTCTTTCAGGTTTAACAGCATTGTGCATTCTACTAAGACGGCTGGCATATCCAAACAGATTGTGTGATATGGTCCCTATGTTCCACTTGTCAACTCAGTCTTTGTCACAAATCATAAATAAATTGATAAGTGTGATTATGGAGGAGCATGCTGTACTTCTCAACAATTTGAATTCATTGCAGTGGTTTAATAGGGAGAAGTTGGAGTATTATGCACAGGTATTGTATTGTGTAATATAGTTGAAGTGATGGTTGGTTCATAAAATGCTGAAATGTGCTTTTTGTAGGCTATTCATAATAAAGGAGCACCTATGAATAATTGTTGGGGTTTCATCGATGGTACAGCAAGGAAAATTTGTCGACCCTCTGAAAATCAAGAAGAGTATTATTCAGGACACAAAAGGTATCACTGCATAAAATTCCAATCAATAATTTGTCCTGATGGAATTATTGTTAGTTTGAAAGGCGCATATCCGGGAAGAAGGCATGATGCCAGAATATTTAGGGAGTCAGGTATCTCTGAAGAATTAGTGCAAAAGACATGTTTTGACACAAGACGATTTGTTTTATTTGGTGATCAAGGATATGGGCTGAGTGATGTGCTATTTACCCCATTTCATGGCAGAATGGAAGATTTACCTGCCCATCAGCAGAGTTTCAATTCTGCTATGAAAGTTCTAAGGATAGCAGTAGAATGGGGTTTTCAGAAAGTCATATCAGAATTTGCCTTTGTAGATTTTTCAAAAAACCAAAAAATGCTACTTCAAGACGTTGATGCTTTATACAAGGTGGCTGTACTACTTACTAACTGCCATACATGCCTGTATAGTAGTCAGACTGCTATGTATTTCAATACAAATCCACCTTCACTTGAGACCTACATAGGCCACTGATAAATAGAGGACATTTTGGGTTTGAAATACTCGTTTGCTTTCCATCGCCGCAGCCAAGACCAACCGCAGACAGCGCTGTTTCGGGCTCTTTAGCCCTCATCAGTATGGTATAGGTCTGTATCAGGTCCAGCCGTGAAGGCGGACAAATGGAAAGTAAACAAGCGAATGTGGTCTATCAAATAGCGGGAAGACGGTAAATGTAAAAGATGGCTCGCGCCATCTAAATTTCGCTAGAACTAGTTTCTTTGCAATGGAAAGCAAACGAGTATATCAGACTATATTATTGCATGTTCTGCAGAAAATGCTATTGTTAGTTTGTCCTGTGAACGCCTTGCGTTACGACTCTGGTGGCCGGCTACTGTTGGTTGGTACCGGGGTATCTGTACTCTGTACAATTCATCTGAGTCAGCGACCAGAAATCGTAAGGGGTTTCTGCTTTGCCTGCGTCGTCATTGACGAAACTTGCAAAGAAACTATCTCTAGCGCAAATTTAGATGGCGCTAGCCATCTTTTACATCTAAATTTTGGGTTGTTTCTAACTTGTAACGCTTGATGATAATTTGTAATTTTTTATAGACTTGTAAGACCAATAAAGCTTGTTTGGAATGTATGTTTATTTATTTTACAACCATAAGGGCAGCAAGCACCCAATAAGAGATTTCAAAACTAAATTAGTATGTTGCTGAAAATATATGAAATCAACTTCTTCAGGAGTTGTGGATGAAATATGTTTGATCCTGAAGTTACACAGTTTTACTATGTTCATACATGGAACCAGTTGCAGAATCAATTTCATATATTTTCGGCAACAAACTTGGTTTGTGCTCACCATCCTTAGCATCAACATTATTATTTCAATATAAGGCCAGTATATTATTTTTTTAATGGCAAATTATCTATTATCAAGTTTTGTCAGTAATGCTTCAATAAGCTTTTGTTGTGTTTTGATGAGGTCACTCAAGTTTTTTCTTTCAGCGACATCTTGCTCAGATTTCTTTTGTTCTAACTCTATCCTATGTTTTTTTTCTTGAATTTCTGCCTCAAGCCTTTTAGACTCCAAGGCAAGTCTTGCTTTGTCATTTGCAATTTTTTCTTTTTCATTATCCATTTTTTGTTCTTCTAACTTGAGTTCTGCAGATCTTATTTCTCGTGATATTTCCGCTTTTTCTCGTAGGTAATCAAGGCCATTTTTTCTCAATGTTTTACTTTTGTTCATCCTTTTGGTACGGGGGGCTGTAATGATCGAAAAGTAAGTAACAGCAACAATAAACAAATGTATTTAATCTTGAACATGAAATGTAAGAGGTAGTTTTGAGCTTTCTGTTTTATAGGTAATGTATAACATACTAGAAACTACTTAATCTAGTAGTAGCCCTCTGAATGGGATGCCATGGCAATGCTATATACGCTGTAGTCATCTGGATCCACTATTTGGTTAGTCTGGCCTGTAAATAAAACCGCAGTGCTAAACAAAAGAAGTTCACTGACAGGTTAGTCATTGCACTGGCTTTTATCAAAGTATATAACATAAGTACCTACACATTTTATATCGAGCACTGGTTTTATTTACTGGTCATACTCCATAACCTGTGGATCTGTTTTAGTGTTTCTATTACTGAAGATTCAAGCAGTAATTCTAATCATTGTTTTACCTGATATCTGTTTTGCAGTTCCAACATCTTGTACAGATATCTGTTTTGCAGTTCCAACATCTTGTACAGATATCTGTTTTGCAGTTCCAACATCTTGTACAGATATCTGTTTTGCAGTTCCAACATCTTGTACAGATATCTGTTTTGCAGTTCCAACATCTTGTACAGACTTATTATTATTTTCTGTGTCAACGTCGACTGTAACACAAACACCTAAAACTGTGATAATATAGTAATATGTATAAAAAATGTTTAGAATAGTTATTTTACCGTAATCATGGTCGATTAAAGTGTCATCCACATCAGAAAAGGCCAGCAGTGCCATAGCCTCTCTTTCATTGCGTGTCTTTTCAATCATATCTTTCGCTTTGTTTTCCACTTTTTTCTTTTTTGCTGGTGTAGTTGAGCAGGTCTCTTTCATTAACTCGCTGGCTTCTTGGAGCATATGTTCTCTTTCATTATAGACTTCTTCTATGCCAGACCTGTCAAACACAAATGTTGTTTCACCAAGTCTTACATTAAGCATTCTCTTGTTATTAAAATACATGTAGGTACAGTGTGCTATCTTATACTTACTTGACTTTGCTGTTAACCTCCTTTTTGAGGAACAGCTCCAGAAGATGGTTCAGATGCTTTTTTATTGTTCTCAAAATAAATTCTTTTCCCGTAAGCTCTCGCAAGTTCTGTAAGATTGAGTCCCACTTCTCAGGAGAACGGATAGGGTTTTGTGCAATAAATTCACGCAGCAAAATCATTTCGTCGTCATACGTGAACCTTATTCTCTTTTTATCCATATTCATAGTTACCAAAACGCTTCAGCAATCGTTGAATTTTGAGAGTACAAATTTATAGGTTAAATAGGCTTGCGACGACACCCGATTTGCTTAGATCGTGAATCGTCGTGACATAAGAACGCCTAAATAAGCTCCCCCTATTATAGCTTAAATAAGGACGTGCCTTATCCCTATTAATTCCTCATAGATACAGAATTGTATGTGCGCATGCGTAGATGTCAAAATAAGGTCTGCACTAATAAGGCAGATGTTTGCAATATCTCCCTAATATGTTTGAACGTCCCCAAACAAAAAAGGAGTTACGAAGGATCTTGAACAACGATCTGCATGCACTCGCGAAGCCTCTGTGGCGTTTCTAAGACACTCACCATAAATTAAAATAATATGGGCAGCTGCAATATTGCAGTATGAGTGTGTTGATTCTAGTTCCAATAGAGCAATGTTCTTATGAGCCCGATGAACATTGCAGTGTGAGACATAGACATATATCGCTTACCAAATGTAGTATATCTAGACTGATGGGGTATATCATATGTTCGATGCAAGAAGACACTTAAACAGACGTCATAATACGTTTGAACGTCCCCAAACAAAAAAGGAGTTACGAAGGATCTTGAACAACGATCTGCATGCACTCGCGAAGCCTCTGTAGCATTTCGAAGACACTCACCATAAATTAAAATAATATGGGCAGCTGCAATATTGCAGTATGAGTGTGTTTCAATAGAGCAATGTTCTTATGAGCCCGATGAACGTTGCAGTGTGAGACATAGACATATATCGCTTACCAAATGTAGTATATCTAGACTGATGGGGTATATCATATGTTCGATGCAAGAAGACACTTAAACAGACGTCATAATATGTTTGAACATCCCCAAACAAAAAAGGAGTTACAAAGGATCTTGAACAACGATCTGCATGCACTCGCGAAGCCTCTGTAGCATTTCGAAGACACTCACCATAAATTAAAATAATATGGACAACTGCAATATTGCAGTATGAGTGTGTTGATCCTGGTTCCAATAGAGAAATGTTGTTATGAGCCCGATGAACATTGCAGTGTGAGACATAGACATATATCGCTTACCAAATATAGTATATCTAGACTGATGGGGTATATCATATGTTAGATGCAAGAAGACACTTAAACAGACATCATAATATGTTTGAACGTCCCCAAACAAAAAAGGAGTTACGAAGGATCTCGAACAACGATCTGCATGCACTCGCGAAGCCTCTGTAGCATTTCGAAGACACTCACCATAAATTAAAATAATATGGGCAACAGCAATATTGCAGTATGAGTGTGTTGATCCTAGTTCCAATAAAGCAATGTTCTTATGAGCCCGATGAACATTGCAGTGTGAGACATAGACATATATCGCTTATCAAATGTAGTATATCTAGACTGATGGGGTATATCATATGTTCGATGCAAGAATACACTTAAGCAGACGTCATAATATGTTTGAACGTCCCCAAACAAAAAAGGAATCCCGAAGGATCTTGAACAACGATCTGCATGCACTCGCGAAGCCTCTGTAGCGTTTCTAAGACACTCACCATAAATTAAAATAATATGGGCAGCTGCTATATTGCAGTATGAGTGTGTTGATCCTAGTTCCAATAGAGCAATGTTCTTATGAGCCCGATGAACATTGTAGTGTGAGACATGGGCATATATCGCTTACCAAATGTAGTATATCTAGACTGATGGGGTATATCATATGTTCGATGCAAGAAGACACTTAAACAGCCGTCATAATATGTTTGAACGTCCCCAAACAAAAAAGGAATCACGAAGGATCTTGAACAACGATCTGCATGCACCCGCGAAGCTTCTGTAGCGTTTCTAAGACACTCATCATAAATTAAAATAATATGGGCAACTGCAATATTGCAGTATGAGTGTGTTGATCCTAGTTCCAATAAAGCAATGTTCTTATGAGCCCGATGAACATTGCAGTGTGAGAAATAGACATATAACGCTTACCAAATACAGTATATCTAGACTGATGGGGTATATCATATGTTCGATGCAAGAAGACACTTAAACAGCCGTCATAATATGTTTGAACGTCCCCAAACAAAAAAGGAATCACGAAGGATCTTGAACAACGATCTGCATGCACTCGCGAAGCCTCTGTAGCGTTTCGAAGACACTCACCATAAATTAAAATAATATGGGCAGCTGCAATATTGCAGTATGAGTGTGCTGATCCTAGTTCCAATAGAGCAATGTTCTTATGAGCCCGATGAACATTGCAGTGTGAGACATAGACATATATCGCTTACCAAATATAGTATATCTAGACTGATGGGGTATATCATATGTTCGATGCAAGAAGACACTTAAACAGACATCATAATATGTTTGAAAGTCCCCAAACAAAAAAGGAGTTACGAAGGATCTCGAACAACGATCTGCATGCACTCGCGAAGCCTCTGTAGCATTTCGAAGACACTCACCATAAATTAAAATAATATGGGCATCTGCAACATTGCAGTATGAGTGTGTTGATCCTAGTTCCAACAGAGCAATGTTCTTATGAGCCCGATGACCATTGTAGTGTGAGACATAGACATATATCGCTTACCAAATGTAGTATATCTAGACTGATGGGGTATATCATATGTTCGATGATGACCCTGAGCACCGTGTTGGGTCCGCCCTGTATGTCCTGGCCGTTAGTAGTGGCGACTGTCATGGTGGAATTGACAGGAGTCAGGGCGTTCGTGGTGGCTGTGCCGCCCGATAACGTCACTGCCTGTTGGGCGGCTTGAAGGGCTGCCTGGGCTGTTGCGTTCTGAAACAAGGAAAGCGTCATGAATTATGTGAACTTTAAGGAATTTGGCAACCAAAACCAAATGTAGAGCTAGCTGATTTATGAAACTGGTGAAATAAAATTTTATTGTAAAAATAAGCATTGATGTAAGATTCTGAGGTTCATCGCCTGGAGAAATATAAGGGATATTTAATCTTTCGTTTCTCTGACTTGATCCCCACTCTTTGTCGAGTTCTGAATACATTTTAGCTCTCTTTAGAACTTGACCAGTAAATAATGATTATTTCAGAAATAATTTTTAAATCAAAAGGTTATTAAAGAATTATGACTTATTAACATTATTGTGGAAGAGAAATTGAATATCTACTACGAAACTAAACCTATTCTATCTGGATTTCGAAGAAATTCAACCACAATAAGAGCATTTCTCACCTTATTAGAGGATGATGTAGAAAATTAATATTCACATACACTATTGAAAAAAAAAATAGAATACTATAGTATAAGAAATGCCGAGCTAGCGCTATTTCGTTCGTATTTGTCTAAGAGGAAAACAGTATGTAAGCTTTGACATCACCGCCTTCGACCGTATGCCTATTTGCAATGGGATACCGCAGGGATCAGTACTTGGTCCCTGCTTTTCTAAGTTATATTAATGACATGCCCTCGACTATTGATAACAGATCTTGCTTCCTATTTGCAGACGAAACTACCTTATGTTTGCAGACGATACCACCTTACTGTCTAGACCTGACTTAAACACGAATGTGGATAGTCTGGACAAGCCAAAAGAGCCAACAAGTTATCGCTAAATCTTAACCAGTAAAACTCCTAGGAATCTAAGGAATCCATACTCGCGACTGAATATGACTAAAAATAATAGACCAAACGTTAAATTATATAATTTATTCGTCAATGAAAATAGAGAACATGATTTTGAAAATATGTCTAATTGGTACTTCTTTGCTAAAGAAACATTGCTTAGCCACTGTTTCTAATCAGCTGATGAGTACGTTGATGCTATGACGTCACTCGAATATACAGGGTGACTTCGAAGTTGAGTCATTTATTTTAACAGTGAGTAGATCTGATCAAAAGAAATGTTTTTTTCCTTTACCATTTTTCTGGTAAAATTAAAGTAACAAAGTTATAGCCCTTTGGAAGTTTGAGTACCGCCCTGTCTCAATAATGATATTATGTTTTCGTGTTTGGCAACAACAGATATAATCCGCCTTATCCGTTCATCGCATCGGAAACAAAAAAGCGAAAGAATTTGGAACGATCTTTTTACAATTATTTTCTTCAGTTGTATACAGTCAGTATCAGTCGGTAGTCGGTAACGCGTAAGTGAATAATCGTGTCTGTTGCGAGGCTCAAATCAAAAATGGCACATGTTTACGAAAATGCTGAACTTGTGGACATGGTTCCTATTTACGGGGAGTCTTTACAAAATGCTGCCGCGGCATCACGGATCTATGCGGATCGGTTTCCCAATCGAGTGCAACCAACCCCTCGTGCCTTTGTTAATGTAGTGCAAAGAGCTCGTGAATCAGGTGACTTAAGACCTCACAGAGGAGATCATGCCGGTGCTCCAAGACCACACGATCAAATAGAACTAGAAGAACAAATTTTAGAATTAGTAAGTGATGATCCAACAGTAAGCACCCGACAAATTTCAACTCAATTGGCGATTAGTCAGTATAAAACTTGGAAAACTCTACGTGAAAATCAGTTCTATCCGTTTCACATACAAAAAGTGCAGGCCTTACAACCGGAAGATCATGAACAAAGGGTTGACTTTTGCAATTGGCTTTTAAATAAACATCAAAATGATGACAATTTTTTAAATCAAATTTTAGTGAGTGATGAAGCCCTCTTTACTAGAAACGGAATTATTAATTCACGTAATTCTCACGTTTGGGCTATTGAAAATCCCCATGAAATAAGGGAAACCAATTTTCAACAGCGATTTGAACCAATCAACCTGTGGGCGGGAATTGTTAATGGAATTTTAGTGGGGCCTTTTGAATTACCAAATCGCTTAACTGGTGAAAATTATTTTGATTTCTTGCAACACAATTTGCCTGGTTTACTGGAAGATGTGCCTTTAAATATTAGACAAAACATGTGGTTTTTACAAGATGGGGCACCACCCCATTATGCAAGAAATGTGCGTGAATTTTTAAATAGACAATTTAATAATCGTTGGATCGGCCGTGGCGGTTTTGTACCTTGGCCGCCAAGGTCTCCGGACTTAAATCCTTCAGACTTTTGTTTGTGGGGTTGGCTAAAAACTCTAGTGTATAAAACACCCGTTAATACACGCGAAGAATTACGTGCTCGAATTGAGGAAATGAGTACAGTGATCAGAAATCAACCAGTGATTTTATTGCGTGCTTGTAAAGAGACATGGCTAAGACGCGCCCAGCTGTGCGTCGAGCAAAACGGAAATCATTTCGAACAGTTTTTGTGACATGCTTTTGGGCGCACAGGTCCGCACTGAAATACTTGTCGGGAGGATACTTTATAAAACAAGGTAACATTTTTTTTTTAATTTTTTTTTATTTTTACACACATATTTTGGTTTATCTTCCTTCTACAATCATTATCTAAAAATTAATGATTCAACTTCAAAGTCACCCTGTATAATAAATAAGTTTGTAAGACCATACATGTAGATTGTATATGTATACATAACCTACTCAATAAATGGTATAATATACTAAGTGACATATAAATCCGAACACCCAGTTTAAATGGTTTTATTTTAATAAAAGTTGGTGAATGTATTTATCTTACTGTAAATAACAAGTGAAAAAATTTTCAGCCTTATCAGTTGGACATTCCGGTTTTTATACTGCTTTTTTTCAATTTACTAACGCTCTAAAAATGAATATTTCAGCCGCAGTAAAGAATCAACGTTGGCGGATTTTGGTTCTTGACATCCTTTACGATCGGTTACGATGCCTACAGTACGGAGACCTGTACGATTTCGTCAACTTAGTGAGTTTGATAGGGGCCGTATAGTGGGACTTCGGGAAGCTGGACTTTCTTTTCGGGCAATTGCAGTTAGAGTGCACAGAAGTGTGTCAGGCATGGCTTCGAGAAGGCCGTACGCAAAGAGCAAGGGGCACTGGACGCCGCCGTAGAACAACAGACCGTGAAGATCGCCGCCTAAGATTATTGGCCTTAAGGGACCGTTTCTCCACTACCAGGTCCATTGCAAATGAATGGTTTGCAGAACACGGAAGACCTATTGGCATGCGAAGTGTTTACCGACGAATGAGAAGTTTTGGCTTGTTTTCATACCGGCCACACTGGGTCCTCCCTTTAACTCGAGAACACCGACGTAATCGCCTTGAGTGGTGCAGACAACGGTCACTCTGGGATCAGGAATGGAACAGTATTGTCTTTAGTGACGAGTCTCGATTTTGTTTAGGCATGCACGATGGTCGTGCCAGGGTTAGAAGGCGACGTGGTGAAAGGAGGAATCCACAGTTTTTTGTTGAAAGACATGTTCATCACACTGTTGGAGTTATGGTTTGGGGTGCTATAGCATATGGTTCCAGGTCACCTTCAATCTTCATCAGAGGTAACATGAACGCGCAGCGTTATATCCACGAAGTTCTAGAACCCCATCTTTTACCCTATCTTGACACCCTGGCATATCCAACTTTCCAACAAGATAATGCCCGACCACATGTTGCAAGAGTCACAATAGACTTCTTTCAACATAATGATGTCACATTGTTACCATGGCTACCAAGATCTCCCGACTTATCCCCAATTGAGCACGTGTGGGATATGATGGGTAGGAGATTGCTCAATTTGCAACGTCCTCCTCAGACTCTAGAAGCACTTCGAGAGGAGTTGGTGGTTGCCTGGAATGAGATACCACAGGAGGACATTGACCACCTGATCAGAATCATGCCTAGGCGCGTTGGAGAATGCGTAGCACATCAAGGTGCATCCACACATTATTAAAGGTCAAAGGGCTTTAAAGCAGTGCAATCATTTTGAAATTTTTATCATTTAATTATTAAAATAAAACCATTTAAACTGGGTGTTCGGATTTATATGTCACTTAGTATATTTAAAACATGGCGTCAAGTAGGTTGACTGTGTACTTTTAGGGAACGCGGTCATCAGTTTATAGAGGATCATGTTCGGCCCAAGTTAGTCCCTTTATAGCTATATCTATAGTATATCTTGTAACGGGAACGGTAAATGATAATTTTAAAGTGCCATATCTCATCAAAACAAAAAGGTGTTTAAGCAAGCTCAGTGGTATTTGAAAGGCCAAGCATTCTAGTTTGAGATGAGGACTGTTTTTTTGAAAAAAAAAAAATAATATTTCGCCATCCTATACAGGGTGACTTCGAAGTTGAGTCATTTATTTTAACAGTGAGTAGATCTGATCAAAAGAAATGTTTTTTTCCTTTACCATTTTTCTGGTAAAATTAAAGTAACAAAGTTATAGCCCTTTGGAAGTTTGAGCACCGCCCTGTCTCAATAATAATATTATGTGCTCGTGTTTGGCAACAACGGATATAATCCGCCTTATCGGTTCATCGCATCGGAAACAAAAAAGCGAAAGAATTTGGAACGATGTTTTTACAATTATTTTATTCAGTTGTATACAGTCAGTGTCAGTCGGTAACGCGTGAGTGAATAGTGGTGTTTGTTGCGTGGCTCAAACGGAATAAAAAATGGCACATGTTTATGCGGATCGGTTTCCCAATCGAGTGCAACCAACCCCTCGTGCCTTTGTTAATGTAGTACAACGGGCTCGTGAATCAGGTGTCTTAAGACCTCACAGGGGACGGCATGCCGGTGCTCCAAGACCTCACAATCAAATACAGATCCGCACTGAAATACTTGTCTGGAGGATACTTTATAAAACAAGGTAAATCTTTTTTTTATTTTTACACACATATTTTGGTTTATCTTCCTTCTACAATCATTATCTGAAAATGACTCAACTTCAAAGTCCCTCAACCTCAAATATAGACAAAAATCGTCATTTTTGCACTTTCAAGTTAGG